GGGCGGCGCGGGGAGAGGGCGCCGCTGCCGCCGCTGCCATCGCCATCGCCATCGCCATCGCCATCGCCATCGCCATCGCCATGGCCGTCGTCATCCCTCTGCCCCGCCGCCCCAGTGCCCGGCAGTCGGCCGGGCCGCGGTGTCTCGTGTCGTTAACGAGGCCCCGCGGGAAACGTCCAGTGTTCAGCAGCGAGGTGGCGGTGGAGGCAGAGGGGGAAGCACGGGCAGCGGCATCCTTTCCCCTGGCTCCCTCTCCTGTAGATGCATATGTATTTTAGTAACTTTGATCCTCCTTTTCTCTTCTCCCAGGCCCTCGCTAGCCTTTCCTGGAAGCTGATTTTATCAGCGCTGTTTTAAAATAGGAGTTACAAAGGAGGAGTTCACTGTTAACAAGGTCCTGGTTTGCGCAATGCAATTCCCCCGTGCATTTTCTGTGCGGTTCCAATATTGTTACTGCGATCTTCTAGATTAAAATAAAAATGACATTGTTAACGCTGGCCTTGGTTTGGAATTAGAAGTGACATTTAATGTTTACCATTTTACACCCTAAATATTGCACATGCAGGCACAAATAAGGAAATATTACGCAGTCACAGGATGTTTGTGTAGTTATTATGAAAGCCGTCATATCTCTAAAGTCAAAGCGAATTAGCTAATAGCCAAAATTATAAAAGAATATCTGCTTCAATCAGAAGTCTTCCCTCTGAAGTCCGTGAGGCTTGTACTTCTGAGGCATGTGAAAACTTCTGAAAATTCTGCCCTCGGGGATAGTCCATGTTTAGGCAGCTGACTTTAGGATCCTATTTTTGGAACCTGTGGTTGAGATTTTAAATTGGATTTTTAGTGAAAATGGTGCCTGAGTTGGTGCTGTAGGTCTTAAATCTATACCTAAGATTAAAAAAGAAAAATGGGGGGGGAGATCATTCTTTTCTGGGGATAGGCTCCTTTTTATTAGATTTTATATACCATAAAAGAGCAATGTGGCATAAATAAGTGTTCTTTCATTTTTTCAGAGCATCTTTAGTCACTGTAGCCTTTCATGTTGCTAGTTTCCTTCACTGTCTTTTGGAATACCACTGGTAGGATTTCATAGAAAATAGCAGTCTCTTCAGTGGAGTGCGTCAGCACAGCTTGAAAGTACGTTTTCACAAGATACTGTCCTATTGTGAGTACTGTACGTTGTTTGATTGTAAACTAAACATACCCTCAAAGGCAGGTGGGAAGAAATCTGTGTATGAGAAAACTGGAAAGGATTACAGTGTGGTGGATAAGTCAGAGATAAATGACAGTACTTATGACTTGTTCCTGGGGATCTTAATGAAGTGGCGTGGGTTGGAGCAATATGTCTTCTTCCAGCAGTCCAGTACAACTCAGTGTTGGATTCAGTGATCTTAAGTGGGCACCAAGATTAGCAACCAGAATTAGGAACCAATTCTGAAAATAATGACATAAGCGTGTCTGGATCTGAATATGCACCCTACAAAATGGACAATCAAATATTTAGCAAGAGTAAATAACAAAAGTACAGTGAAAGCTTAAAGAATTATTGCTTGTGAAGTATGTAGAGATCTTCTAAAATCTGCGTTCAGTGATGTTATTTACATAGTTTCTTGTAAAATAGCTGAATTTATCCTTTATTTCTGTAGGTCAGATCTTGCCAGCAAACCGAAACACACCAAGTCCCATTGATCCTGAGACTATCCAAGTTCCTGTTGGCTACGAACCCGACCCTGCAGATCTTGCTCTTTCCAGTATTCCTGGCCAGGAGATGTTTGACCCTCGTAAACGCAAATTCTCTGAAGAAGAGCTGAAACCACAGCCAATGATTAAGAAAGCTCGCAAAGTCTTCATTCCAGACGACCTGAAGGTAAATTGGAACTGGTGACGAGGTTGTTCATACAGACTCTATGGCAGTTATTGTCTGAGATACAGGTTTGGAGCATGAATCCGTTTTCTCATGTAAGGTAGATCTGCCAAATTAAATACAGCTTTGTTGTAGAATAAAACAATAATGGTTCTGAATAAGACTGAGGGGAGGATGTCCCTTATTAGTTATGCAACAGTTGAAATTCATGAGATCAATATTCATTTCCTTTGCATGCCAGAAACTTCCTGCGTGACCTTGGACAAGCTTACTTTGTCCCATATTTCCGACTTATGAAACAGTCTGATCATGTTTCCTTTTCCTCCATGCTCTGTCTGTCTCATCAGCATATACTGTGAATTCTTCAAGGAAGAGGCCATCTCTTACAGGGTCCATGGATGTCCCTGGCAATGACAGAGTGAAGTAGACTGCATCGTGCTTGGAAGTTTATTTAGCTCTGTGTTTAATAATGAATGGGAACACTATAGTAAATGCTACTAATCTAGGTAAAAGAATCTAAGCTAGTTGTAGTGAAACAGAAAATTCTGCCAAGAACTGTATTTTAATACAATATTTTAAATATATTACAATAATAATACAGTATTTTAAAAAAAGCGAGCACCCTTGTCTGTGCCTCTCACTACTTCTGAGATGTGAAGAGCAAAGAGGATGAAGGGAGCAGAACAAATTGATCAATTGATTCAACTGATCAAACGACTGTGAAAATTGTCATTATTTGCAAAATTCTATCCCCAGTATATGATTTCCAAGAGGACCCTTTTTTATCAGAGGTAGTCAGTGCAGAATTTCATTCTGCTGTTGCTGTACCCCCCAAGACACAAACTAAAAGCCTGGTGGAGTCAGTGGGAATCTCTGGCTGTGTGCGTGAAGAGAGTGGGATGCCATGTGTTTACACCAGATTGATAGCATTAGAGGAAGACAAGTTTGCTATTTTTATCCCTAAGGATACTGTTGTGCAAGTTAAAAGCACAGAAAGCACAATTTCAGTAGTGTTCGGGTAGTATGTAGCTGTCGCTTTGTCTGTAGTATCCTCAGCTTTCGTTTAGAAAGGTTTACGCGCACTGTGCTTTCCTGGGCAAGTTTTGCTACCACTGGTGCTGTGTTGGCATTGCAGCGTACCGAGAGGTCTGCCCAAAGAGAGGGGTTCATACAGCAACGGCCACTGGGTGTAAGGAGACTGGAGTTTGCTCCTTGGTGCCATTCATCATTTTATGATACCTCCTAGGTATCCTTATTTGTCAAAGCAAACTTTTGCCAAAGGTGCCCTTGGACTGCTTCATGCCAGAGGTGGGAAATAATCAGCCTCGCATGCAGCAGTGGGGCACGTAAGTTTTCACCTTAAGACTGAACTGGAAGTTCAGGGTCTCTCCTTTCTCGAGATAATCACATCAGTTGCCCTTGACTCGTTTCAGAGTGCTTGACCCAAGTGCCGCTTCTGCCCTGGCATGTGGAATGGCTGTTGAGTTCTGGGGGAGGATAAGCAGATTAGACCAGTCAATCGTCTCTGGGTTGCATGTGATTTTGAAATGCCAGCCTTACCTCTCTCAGGCCTGGATTAAGGGATTTGCCATAGCAATTTGTTAAAATAAAGATGGATGAAGCCTAGGTGGCACACTAATAAATTGCTTAAAGCTGATTTTTATAGAGTGGAATGAGATGGGAAATTATAAACAAGATTTGGGTCATAGCTTTTTGCTGCATGCTTGTTTTTAAGAGGATTTTTGGGGGTCCCATCTAAGTACAGGTGAAGAGCAATTTAGAGCTGCGCTGGCTCCATATCGTCACTGCTGCACACCTCATTAAGCTAAACTAATATAAAGCAGTTGTAGAGTACTTCAGGCAGTTGGTTTGCTCTTGCTCTTCCTTATGCAAGCAGCAGCAGAGGGTGCAGAGCAGCGGCGTCAGGCCTGGCGTGCTTCGTGCTGAAAGGCAGAGGAGCAGTGGGGTATTTGTTCAGTGCAACGTAGGAGCAGACGGCTCCTGGTCCTTGGTAGTAGGTATGGAACGGTGCCACCGTGCCTGGTGGAACAAGAAAGCCACACAAGCAAATGTCAAACATATAAAAATGGAGGGGTGACACTGGGAGGGGAAGTTTGAGCTATATGACTTGACCGATTTGCGAGTTGAACGGCTGCGTCACTCTCACCCTGCAGGGAACTGAGTTTCACTTTTTGTGAGAGATTCTGCCCACTTTGTATTTACTGAGTTGTTCCAGATTTCTAGAACTTAATTCAGTTTCAAAGCAACATTGAAGCTGCCATTTCACTGAAGCCCACTTCATTTGAAAAGTGGAAAAATCGGGTGAAATTAAGTGGTGACTTTCAAGCCATTGATGCACCAGTGCAGTAAGGTGATCTCCTAGAGGCAAGTCTTTAGGGGTAACACTTCAGGAATGTGTTAGCTTATGAAACTTCAGAGGTTAGTGGACCTATTTCTGTCAAATGCTTTTTTTTTCCACAGTCAAAGCCTCTTGTACTAATCTCTTTGCGGGTGGTACCAAAGCAGCCATCCTTGTAGGGCCAAGGAATCCTCTTCCAGCGACGTGCTGAGCCAGGGTGCAGACAGGAACGCTCTGGGGCTCTGTAGAGAAAGAGCTTTGAACAGAAAAAAGACCTGAACGATAGACAAAATGGGTGATACCAACAGAGTGAACCAGGTGTTCGCTGGCAAAGATGAGCAGGGACATAGAAGAGGTAATTAGTACTGCTCCAGCAACCAGTAGAGAATGAGTCATTGCATGCGAAGGTGGATGTGCTAACTAGGTCAGCGTAGATGTGAGATGAATTGTACCACTGGAATATTGCTTCATTTTTCCTTGGAGGAATTCACAGTGAAGAGGATGAGGGGGTTAGGGTAAAGGTTTTGACAGAAACACGGTCCGGCATCTGTGCTCCCTGGATGGATTATGCCATGTAAATCTGGAACTTTTGTCCCAGCGGTGCCTGGCACTGTCAGGGCTTGCTGGGACAAGCGAGCAAAACGTGCGGAGCCTGTGGCTAAGAGCACATCCTGGTGGCCGCTCAGTTTATTGAAATCTAATATCTTGTTTGTTTCTTTCTGTGTTTAATGAGCAGGATGACAAATACTGGGCAAGGCGTAGAAAGAACAACATGGCTGCTAAGCGATCAAGGGATGCTCGCCGGCTGAAGGAGAACCAGATCGCCATCCGCGCCTCGTTTCTGGAGAAGGAGAACTCTGCTCTCCGCCAAGAGGTGGCCGACTTACGGAAAGAGCTGGGCAAATGCAAGAACGTCCTTGCAAAGTACGAAGCTCGACACGGCCCCCTGTAAATTCAAGGGGGAGGAGCGGGGTTTTTTTCTTTTTTCTTTTTTTTTTTTTTTTTTTGCGGGTGGGGCTTTGAATTAAAGGCAAAAGGGATGCTCGCCGGCTGAAGGAGAACCAGATCGCCATCCGCGCCTCGTTTCTGGAGAAGGAGAACTCTGCTCTCCGCCAAGAGGTGGCCGACTTACGGAAAGAGCTGGGCAAATGCAAGAACGTCCTTGCAAAGTACGAAGCTCGACACGGCCCCCTGTAAATTCAAGGGGGAGGAGCGGGGTTTTTTTCTTTTTTCTTTTTTTTTTTTTTTTGTTGCGGGTTGGCATTTGAATAGATGGACAATGTGTTTCCTGTTTGATAGCACCACACCCAAACCAACCTTTCTGTCTTCAGCACTTTACCAGAAGCAGAAACAAAACTGACTTACGTTTCTTTTTTTGTTTGCGTATGTGTGTACCTGCGTATGTGTGCACATGTGTGTTGACACGTCTGTATATGTGTGTGTGCGCGCTTGTGTGTGTGCATGTGCGTGTGTGTGTGTGTGTGCGTGCGCACGCATCTCAGCACTTCCCATTTTTATGAAGCGCTCTTCAAAGGGTGCCGCATTTTTACCTGGACTGTTGAGAACCGCCATAGTAAGCTTTTTATTATATTTTTTCAGTGCTGCTTCAGAGTAGGGTTTTTATGTTATTGTAACCAGTTCCATCCTCCTGATTTACTTGGAAAGATCCCAGTATAAATTATAAAAAAAAGGAAAAAAAAAAAAGAAAAAAGAAAAAAAAGTAGATCTCAGTTTTTTTCGGGAGTAACAAGCTATTGTTTTAAGTATGTCTAATCAGAAAAGTTAACATGCTAATAAAGTGCACAAATAATAATTTAGTACTACACTGCAGAAATATTAATTTATAGATTGCTTTCGTTGTATTTTAAGTTTTGGTGGTAATTGTCTTCAGATTTAAAGTGCTGTTAGACTGAGTTAGCTGTACTCATTATAGATCCCATAATGGCTTCTCTCTAGCTGTTAAGGTTCCTTTCGTCTCCACAGAGCCCAGGTAGGTGGAGTCTCTCCGTAGCCCACAGAGTGTGTATTTTGCACTGTCCGTACCTGAAGCAATAATCCTATTGTACGCTAGCGCGCATGCTGCCCGGATGTTCCTAGTGGACGTAGGATGGTTTCCCTACCCAACAGGAGTTTTAATGTCTTTAACAAAAAGCTGAAAAGTAAAAGACACCTTAACGTGAGCATGCTAATTGTGTCCCTGTCTATAGGGAGCGCATGTATAAGAAGCAGGATAATTAGTTGAAACGAGAACAAAATTAATAGCATCAAATCAGATCCGATGTCGAAATCAGAGGGGCTTTTCTGTTTTCAGTTAGTTATGCATTTCTCCAAGTTCCATTTTGTGATTAAAATTTAAATAAATACCTAAATTCAGTTGTTTTTCCCATGTTCTGTAATATATTTTCTGTGGATTATATCTTGCTGTTTTAAAAAATCACTTTTATTCAGTTAGAAGTCACTGGTTTGCAAAGCCCATTTTTCCTAGTGATTGTTGTTTTGAGTGTGACATGAACTGATGGTTCTGAACTTTATTGTTTTAAACTCTATTTGCTTTTGAACGCGTATGTTCTAATATAAAGTGGACTTCTGAAAAATGAATGTAAGAGACACTGGTGTATTTCAGAAGGGGATGGTGTTGTCATATACTGTGGTTAATCCAATCAATCTAAGTGTTTACTATAGACCAAAAGAATAGATATTATAAAATGTATAAAGTTTATACAGAATAATTATAGTATGTTCGTTTTGTACAGTATTTTTCAAGTACAAATACTGACAATGTATTTTGAAAGACATATATATAGCAAAAAGAAAAAGCTATTCCATGTTTAAAATATATAGCAAAGATATATATTCTCCATTATTGTACAGAAAGGAAATGCTTAGGGTTTGTTGGTTGTTGCTTTTTTTTTTTTTTTAAATCTTTAATATTTTAAGCCTACCACTGGCACACCAGCGTGTTCTGTGCTTTCAGTTTTAATGGCAGTAATATGGCTTTCCAGGATGTTCCATATTACTGAAAAAGAGGGAATCTATTTTTCCATCAGAAACACATAAAGAAACTGTTTAGTAGGGACAAAGCACAACATGGATTTTAGTCAACTATTGATTGGACAATTCAATATTTTGTAAAAGCAGAAAAATAATGCATAACACAAAAAATTCTTACAGAAATTTCTAATCTGCTGCTGCTAGAATCCGTTCCCAGCTGATTTTTTTTTTTATAAATAGCTCTGGTCATGTATACAGTTGTACGTACTGCATATGGTTATTAACATGTGAGGAAAATATGGTGCTACATGCCTTGCTCACAGTTTTCTAAGTGTTTTGACATTATTTTTAAATAAAAAGGTTGTTCATTCCATTAAATCATTATTCATGCTTCAGGAGATTGTTACAAAGGATTCAACATTTTGTTCAGCATTAGAAATACCCTTGCATCAATGGCATTTTTCCAGGATTTTTCCTCAAACGTACCCGACTTGTCAGTGTCCCTTAACGTGCAGTACTTGCCTGTGGACCATTTATTCAGCAAATTGAATTTCTGTGTGCTGCGGCAAAGTTTAAAGAGTAGTAAGTTATTTTCTAAAGGTCAGTATAAGCCACGGATGCATGGGTAGAGAACCGAGGCTGACGGCGTTTGGCACAATCCAGTGTATCTGCCGTGGCCACTAGGAAATAAACTTGATTTTTTATCTTCGGAAGCAGCGTGGCGGTGGCAAGGCTCAGCCGGCCCCTGCTCTGGGTACACTTTTAGCAGCAACATAGCAAATAGCAACAGCTTATAATCGCCCTCACGATGATTGTTCTTGGGGTGAC